ATAAAATTATCCAATTTATCCGAACAATCCGATAAAAAACTACTTAAATTATCCAAAAAAACTCGAAAATACTTAAAAGTATCCAAATTAATCGAAAACGAGGTATAAAAAAAAAACTCAAACTCCTAGAAAACACCGAAAGTATCTGAATTTAGTAAAAAAATGATTAATGTTTTTAGTAATTTCGAGTTTTTCTTGTACTAGTTTGGATTTTGGGTTTGGTTTGAATATTACGAACCCGAAATACTTAACATTTACATCCCATTCAGGTATTTCTCTAGATTCGGGTTCGAGTTTCAGTTTTTTGCACACAATGGGAATTGACATTGGTCCGCATATCTCTCATCTTCTTCTTCATTAGTCCTATAACACTCTAGACTAAAGTCCACTATTCTAAATACGTTTTTTTCTTTGTCATCTGGTTATTTTAATTAGATTCGCAAGTTAAGATACAAAACCAGCGGAAGATAAAAAATCCTGGAAACTAAGCCGGTAGAAAACACAATTTCTCCGGAAGCTATGCCCAACAAATGGGAATCTAACACAACTACAATATAAAACAAAGAGAAGCCAAACTTACACAAACCTAAACTGAGCAATACAAACTCTAAATAAACCTGATAATCAATCAACACAACCAACCAAATCAAATTCTAATATGATGGAGCTTCAATATAAAAATATCGAAAAGACCCAGAAGTGGCCTAAACAAACGATATATGACTCCTCCTATAGCAAATTAGAACTACCTTTCGACACGGAAATCCTAGGCTTCATAACCCGACAAAGATACTCCACTAGAAGAAGCTGAAGCTTTCTTTCGGATTCGGCGAGATCAAAATAAGATCATGGAACTCCTTGATAGAAACCTGATGAGAAACCTAGATTTCGGACAATCTATGATGTAGTAAAAAGGAGCGAATCTGGTCACACCCAGTAAAAAACTAGTTCGGCAAATCGAGACAGTCACTTGACCGGAACCGGGTAAATACGAAGGAGAACTCCAAACGAGTCTTATAGATCAAAAATCGGTTAAGAAATGCAAACCATCAAACAAGGAGCATCCGAGAAAGACGCTAACAGGGTCTGTCACAAAACAAGAAGAGCAAGAGAATCATCGAGGGAGAAAAGTCTATGTCCACATGAGAAAGCATGCACAACGACTGTAAGAGTCCATCACCAAAATGAAACTCATCGAAGACGCGAACACTAGATTTCATATGAACAAAAACCATATCTGACCTAAATAAAAACAGAGGCAACGACCCAGAATTAAGATACACTAGTTCAAATATGTGGTGATAGCAGGCACACCGCTTCGTCGCTCACAAAGCCGGCACCACGAAACCAAGACAATCTTAACCATGACGAGATCTGTACCGTCAAAGCATATCAGAGCCTGAGACAATCTCTTCCAATATCAACGCCGTTACAAAGGAAATACAGAGCATAAAACAGACAAAGCGACCGGCGTCGACAATAACAGAGCCGTCGCACGCCGGTCCAAGCTTCAAACGTTTACTTATCCCTAGCGTTTGTTCATTCGTTATCTAACACTTATTTTCTTGTCACTCAAAGACGAACTAGTTGACTATCAATGTATGATTTAACTAAAACTAACTTAGTTTATGTATGAAATAAATAATATTTTTGAATTCAAAGATTAATTAGCATAGCTCTCGAGTCAGTGTCGTGCCTAGATTTTTAGAGGCCTGAAGCGAACTTAAAAAAAAAAATTTTGTTACATATGATTTTTTAACCACAATTATAATTTATTTGAGATAATTGTTAGAATGTCAACAAAAAGTTAATGGAAAAAAAAATAAACTCTTATTTTAGCATCAAAATAGTTTTGAATTTGGGATAAGAGTCTCAAAACTTATTCTCACCATATTTTTATCATTATACTACAATTAATTTTTAGAATACGGAGTCTTAAATTACATAAAATCATCCGGGGTCCGAGGCGAATGCCTCTTTAACATCAAAGGAGGCACGATCTTGTCTCGAGTTTTTGTATGTATCAAACTTATTTAGGTTATTGGGGTATGAAAAGACAAAAAAATCCTACAATGAGATAATGTATCAGATTCTCATGGAATAAGTTCAAACGTTTTTGTCATCTCTTATTCAACGAAGAAATTCTATTGAATATGAATGAACTGAAAATTTTATAAAGTAGTGGTTGGCTCTTTTCTTTGAGATATAGATTTATAACAAACAATAGTTGGAACCAAATGTACTAATCTATAAGTGAATATAACCGTCGAATAGAATAATTGACAAAACACAATAATGAATATAAAATGCAATACTATTCCGATTTACCAAACATAAGTAAAGGAGTTTCAAGTGATTCGACTTTTTACCACCATTACGGGTTACTTTGCAAAACTTTTTATTCTATCAGTTTTTTTTTTGTATTTGAAATTGATAGATTAGAGTATTCAAATTTTGTCGAAACACCCAATTAATCAAATTTCCACAACAGTGAATTTGAAAAAAATTAGTGTACACAACTTATATTTTCTCCTTTAAAATGGTAAACACAAGAACAAGAAAACTGTCTTCATAATTAAAAAAAAATCTATGTAGAGACGTTTGATTTAATGAAGGGTCAACTGGTGATTAGGATTTGACCACTTAAGTGCATTTTTGTTAGATTATTAGATATACTTTTTTTCTTATAGTCATCTATGCTAATTTCCTTTAAAGAAGTAGTAGTGAGTTTTTGGAATTAATTCAAAAGCTTAGTACTAAAAAGAGAAAATGAACCTGGAGGAATAATGGAGAGGCACATTGGAAGAGTGAGCAATGCCTTGATTCCATATCTATCTGCTAGATTTCCAATCACCGGCATCATTACCATTGTCCCTAGCCCTACCGACTTTTCATTGTCATAAGTGAATTAATTTGTCAACTGAATTTAAATTGTTCGAAAAACTATAAATGATGTTTACTTTACAAAGAAAGAAAGTGAATATTTACTTTGGTTTCTTAATAAATTTCACGGTAAAATTTATTTTTTTGTTTCATAAAAATGTTCTTATGTTTTTTCAATACAGATTTTTAAAAATATTAAATTTTACATTTTCAATTTATTCGATGAAATAAAAACTTATGAGTGTAATAGTTAAATGTTTAGTGCAAATGTTAAAATATTTTCTAAAGGAGTATACAACAATGGAATATGTTTTCGATGACAGATAATAGCAATTCATTTTTTCCACCATTAAGTATTATTTTAAAAATCTGACAGTAAACGAACGATATGCATCGATAGTTGTATAAGCAAAGGTTTGTTACCACTTGTTGTAATCCGGTGAGATAGACGGCGAGAGAACATGAATCGTTTAGGTCTGAGCAAACGGCGGCGACGGTGACGTCAGTCATCACCGGCTTCACCAAGAGTCCGGCGAAGTCTGAGAGGAAAACCATCATCATCAAGTGTATCAGCCCTCCAAAGATCTCCTCCATCT